AAAGTAATTCATTGTTTCATTGTGTATATATAAAAAAAGGTTGTTGAAATGGCGAGAATAAGATAGAGAAACATTGAGAATAAGTGGAGTCATCTTGTCAATAAAGATATTTTTCCTACTTTCACTTTCACAGCGTTTCAATTCATTTTTTTAAAAGGACATCTTGTTTATAGAGTTCTGTCAGACAGCAAATAACGAAATAATAATGCACGATGTATTTGAACGGAATGGATGTATTCAATATATACACTACACACGTTACGCATTATCCATTTATACGATTATTGTACGACTTCATTTCATTGCACAAGGATTTATGGGGGGGGGTGCTGCCGACAACAGACTATTTTCCTATAATGACGGCGATACATTGAAAGTCTAAATTGTTTGTCTTCAAACAATTTTTCTAGATTAGAGAAAATACATAAGCCTTTTTCTTATTTAATTAATTATGCATCATTTCTTAGGACACTTAAACAAAAATTAACCGTTGATGTTCAATAGGAAAAACAATAGTAAATAAATATGTATTATTGTAAAAATTAGTCTCAGAACAGTCGTTTGCGACAACATTGTCACGTGACTCAATCCACCTTCTTTCAAACATTTATTTATTCATTTTTTTCCCCACGGGGAGGAAAAAAAACTTCCGTTAAAAAATGGTTCGATGTTATTTTCAAGGTTTTTTGTTTTTGCTTTTTTAATTGAAAATTTATGCATACGGTCGGGGGTAATTTTGTTCATTCAATTTGCCGCTAAAAAAGAAAAATATTATTATTATTATTATTATTAATAATAAATTGAAGGGTCATAATGAATGACAAAATAAATATTTTTTTAACAAATAAAAAAAAAAACACCGTTCAGTCTGCTGGGAAAAAGAAAAAAGTAACGAAAAAAAAAAAAAGCAAAAAAAAAACAACAGTCAAAAAATTTGACCAATGATTCATCATTTGGGGTTGTGTAGTCACTAAAGAGCAGCTTAGTACTTTGTTTATTTGTTGTTATTTTGGTTTTCTCAACATGCTTCTCTGAACACTTTCACGTTATCAATGTTCTCTTACAGAGAGTATGAATTCTTTATTGCGCGATTATGCAATTAACGGATTTCTATTTGCATGAAGAAAAGAAAAGGCCATAAATATGTAACACAGACTTTAAATGACTATCAAAAAAAAGTAAGAAAGACACTAAATCTAAGACAAAAAAATAGAAACAATAAATGTAGCAACCATTAAATTTCACAGTGATGAAGAGAAGAATGGATGAGTTCCCAATTCCCCATCGTAATCATCAATATAAAAAAAATGCCTTGTCAGCAGCGAATTCTGCATTCCAATCTACACACACACACTTATCGAAAGGCACATTGAGACAGTAGTTACACAGGGAGACAAAAAGTGAAACAGATGGACAGGTACTCTGTAACACACATTGCCACTGTCAATACTAAGTAACAGGGCTACCATTTCCTTTTCATAGTCATAACATATGACATATGCTATTATTGAGTGTAAATGTATTTAGAGCGAGACTGCGCACATAGCTCTTTTATAGAGAAAAAGTAAACAAAAATAAATAAAAGAGATAGGCATTTCTGCAACTGAATAGGAAAGACAAACATTTTTTTTTTTTTAAGTGAAGAGAAATAATTTCGGAAAAAATAATATCCACTCTTATACTTTATTTTTTTACCTGTGTCATTCGTTTCAGTAGTCGTTTATTATGTCATTTAAAACAAGCTAGAGACATAAAGAGAAATAATAATAATAATAATAATAATAAACGAAACAAAACACAGACGTTAAGATTAGGAAACTATTTGGAAAATCTCGAAAAAAAAAAAAAATACATTTTTTCCTACATTACGTTTTACGACAGTGTAGTCACGTGATCAAACACAGTGTCTTGGAGAAATTCAGCATCAAACATTAGGCGGCGATGTTGATGGATGGGGAAAAAGGGGGACGGATTTCGACCATAGTAAATAAATAAATAGATAATGTGACTGTCATTTTTATATAATCTTTGTTTTCATTATATTTGGTACGACCTCGAAAAGACAATGCCGAGAGGTTCACCTCGACGTTTTTCATGTTTATTTTATTTATTTATTTTTTTTTAAATGTATTCCTGAGAGAAGGCATATTTTTTTCTTTAAATTCTCAGTGAGAGAAAAATAATGAAAGAAAGAGTGGGCGATAGAGAAAAATGGCTAGAGGGTGATTGGTGGGGGAGAGAGAAAGATCAGAAAAAAAAAAGAAAAAAAAGAGAAATACAAAATAAAAGTGAGAAAGCGAGAAATCGGAAGAGAGAGAAAGGGAGAAGGAAAGAAAGCAGAGAGGAAAATAGTGCAAAATGTAAAGAAAGAAAGGAAAATGAAAAGCACGCGTGTGTGTGCGCGCACGCGTGTGTGTGCGCGCACGCGTGTGTGTGCGCGCACGCGTGTGTAGTTGTTGATTTTTCATTAAATCGTTCTCTAATCAAGTTATGCATGACGCACATGTATATTATGCATGCAATGTAGTAATTGTAAGCGAACTGATAACATCCAACACCAACGCTACTCTGAGTGCTCCCTATTGTACGCACATGTATCAACTGAAAAGAGTGTTTTTTTTGCTAGTTCTCATATTATGAATGTTTTTTTGTTTTTAAAAAAATATTAGCAGCATTTTTTTTATTTTATTTTTATACACAGTCTCAGAAAAAGAAATATAGAAGAGAAAATGCACATTTTCATCAGAATGCTGAAGTGTATAAAATAACTTATGAACATCTGCATTTCATTTTTAAAAATAAAGGGATTTCTCACGTGACCACCTTGTCGTAAAACGTGTTGGAAACAAGTTGCATAGGTTTTCATGTGATTTTTAGAGTTGTTTTTGGTTGTTATTTGAATTTACTATTTTTTTTAAAATTTAATATTCTATTTATGTTTGTTTTCCGGTTCTTTTTAACAATTTTAAGAAGGTTTTAGTAACAGTATGTTTTGTAATATGAAAAGCGGAAAAAATGAAGTTAGATCTCATTTTCACCGAATTAATCCAATATAACACATTTAGATAAAAAAAAAAAAAAAAAATTAAAAATTTTTTGTCTGTGTCCCACGTATGCTGCGGAGACATTTCAATTTCATTGACCAAAAATTGTTCTGTTAAAACTGAACTTAAAACTGATCATCTTCACTGATTTTTTTTTAATAAATGAATAAAAATAAAATATTTACTGTAGTTAGTTTTTAATTTGAATAATTCGCAATTATCTAAGGCTAGGTAAAAATTTGTTGTATCATTTGTTTTTTTTTTTTGTTTTTTTTGTTTTAATTAAATAATTATTTAATTTATCGATTTTAGACGTTACGAAATTGACAGAAAGATCAAGGGTGGATGGAAGACAAACTTGTATTGTACGCTGATTTCTATTAGATTTCACGTGTATATTAGAAATAATGTAATTGTAATTAAAAAAAGGAATAAATCCACGCAAGAAAATGATAATTTTCTTTTTTAACAAGATCAGAAAAATCCGACTATGAAATTTGTCAAACGTAGAGATTTTGATCAGAAAATAATTACGAAGAAATTTAATCGAGAATTTTGAAAGTAAGTAAACAAACTCCATTAAAGTAAAAATAATAATAAATAAATAAATAAATAAATAAAGTCAAAAAATAGCCAGATATCTTTCGAAGTGTAGTACCATATGATATCTCCCCACCCATCCAACCTATGAATCTCTTTCTCTTTCGTGTATAATCCCATATTCATCCGAAAAATACAGTTCTAAAATAATCCTACTGGGACATTCCTGCGAGAAACTATTGCAAAAGTATTAAATAAAACGTACAAAGAAATTAAAAAGATAAGATACATTCATTCATTATTCATATTTAAAACAACCTTCCCGAACACGTGAACCGCCGTCATGATGAATTTTTAGTTTTATTCAGTCATATTGGAAATGCACCAAATAAACTGTGTACATTTTCACATACGTAAACGTTGTGGCAACTTTTTGTATCATTTTGATCTCGTTTTATGTAACTTAATATTCATTTTAATTTACGAAAAGTTTTTAGTGTTAAAAAAAGCTTTTAAAAAAAAAAAAAAAAAAAGGAAAGAGAAAAGAAAAATGTGGATTGAAAAGAAGACGAATGTTAAAAAGTTTTCTTTGTTTTTTTTTGAAAACAGTCTTTTTGAAAGGTCACTGAAGAGACTGTACAGGCAAAAAAACTAGCAATGTTTTATGAAAAAGCTGAAAACAAAATTGTCCTTTTTAAAACTAAAAGCGATTTTCTTGTCATTAGCATTGCTAGCAATGAAGTAGTCACGTGACCAAACATTTTCCACCCCTATGGATGTAGTAATTTTTAAAAAGAATGTTTTCTTTCTTTTCTAGTCACCAACAGATTCTCTTCACTATTTTCGGTTTTAATTTGAAAATTCATTAGTGTTTTTTTTGTTTTGTTTTTTTAATATTGCCTTTACTATCACGCAAGAGAAAGCTTTATTCACAATATGAGACAAGAAGAATGTTGAAAAGAGATGTAAAATAGCAGAAAGCACTGATTTTTCGCTACCTAATTTTCTTGTGTGGAAAAATTATATTTATTTCCACAGTAATTACGGAACATTTCCCTGTAGAAAAACAAGAGAAGTGAAAAAGAAAAAAAAAGAAGTAAAACAAAAGCTAACAACGAGCATCGGAAAGAAAAAAGAAAAAAAAAATTAATTGTGAATTCTTTTGAGGAAAAGAATGTTGACTCCTTACAGCTCCGACTGAAGTAAACATAAATAAATAAACAATCACACCTAAAGGCCCCCAAAACGATCAAAATGCGTATAATAAATGAATATTAAATGAACGTTATTTAGTTTGATATATTAAGAAAAATCCTGCTTGCTTTTAATAACGATATTTATTTAGTAGTCAAATTTTCTTGTATTGTTTTTTTTTTTGCATTGTTGTATTGATGAAATTAACAACGACTGACTGACTGGTCTTGTACGCATTATTCATTTTTCCATCTGTGATGGAGAGGGAGAAGAGAAAGAGAGGAACGCTAGCTTCTGCTACTGGCTGAATATCATCAAAGACAATCTGGGACCATCACCATCATCCTAACAAATAGTATGACAATGCTCTGATGTCAGTGGTCGGTATTCTAGCCGAGTGAAAAAGGCAGGATTTTGTTTTATTCTTTAAAGATGGTAGGCTTTTTTTTTTTTTTTTTTAGTCTTTACACTTAGAAAATTGATGCAACGCAATTTTACTTCCACTTTGGCTTTTTATGTCAGAAGCTCAATATTAATTTTGTAAAAACATCTGACTGTGAATTTAAAAGAAAAAACACTTCAGCCTATTAAAGAGAAAGACAGATTAAAATAAGGCGGCAAAGGTATTATTGAATTTGAATATTATTACCCCCCCCCAAAAAAAAACCGATGCTTCGATCGGAAAAACAAAAAAGTAATTAAATAAAGAGAAAATACAATTGTATATTTACTTTTCATCACGCCTCAGCAGAATAAGAAATAAGTGACTTATGGTCGCCCTAAAAAAGCTATTTCACTTTTATCAATTTTATAATTTGTAAAACTACAATACTACATTTTTTTCAAAAATTTGAAAGGCACTTGAGGTTTGGTTCAAAAACAAATAATTCATAGAAGTGAAATGTGTGTAAACGAGTGGGATCGTGTGTTTAAAACCCAAGCTTTTTAGTTTTTAGTTTATTATTATTACCAACCATGATTGATTCTTGTGAGCTAAAAACAAAACTTTTAAAACGATTATTAATCCCTTAGGATAACCATCATCGTATTTTTAAAGTCATCACCAGCTTCAACTAATTTTTAATTGTAAGTAATAACAAACAGTTTATATTGCAATGTTATTTTCCAATATTAGAGATAGTGTACTATACAAGAGAAGAATGGATTTATAAACACCAAATAAATCATTTATTTGGTGTTTCAGTTGTTTAACTCGAACTGTTACCGCTTTTAACAGACATCACAAGCATAAATAATTACATCGGTGAGCACACGCACTGGACTATAAAAAGAGTTTATGCTTTTTTAAGTAAAAATATCTTTTTCACTTACAAGAAGCAAAGTATGACACAAGGTTTTTTTTAGTGAGAGACTATATAGAAATGGCGGTGGTATTTGCTATGTATGCAAATTGTCGAAGACCCAGACAATGTTAAAGTTGAAAGATTTTTCTGAAGATAAAGCCGAAACAGTAGCAATTTTAAAAATATAGCACATTCACAAGAAAATAAGAAAAAAAAAAAGTAAGGGACTAAGGATCGTCTTGTATTAGTAGTGAGGTGTGTGTGGGGGGGGATTGAAGTCATAAAAAGGTGGAACAAAGTTGAAGGGAAAAAAGACAGACGCAAGAAGCACATACCCATACCCAGACCCACTAAAGAATGCTAACATTTCCTTCGCGGAAAAATTGGCTACTATTTTTTCACTTTGTTTCACATTGCGAATGCGTCTTATTTAAAAAATTTGACATGGTATTCTTAAACATCTCGAGGCCGGGAAGACGTTCTAAGAAAAACAAAAAATAAGTAAAACAAGAGAACGTGTTTTTTTTTTTTTTTTTTTTCTCTGTCACGTAGATTTTTTTTTTTTTTACAAGGTGTTTTGGCTACCGGTACAAATTAATTACTCCCCACACCCGAGCCTAAAAGATCTGGAAAATTTAGATGTTTGAAAAAGTATTAAGAAAATTTTAAAAAAAAGGAAAATAAAAGAAAAAAAAGACAGCTATAAAAAAGTTACATCTCGAGCTTCTTTTTGCCTTGCGTAAAAAAATAATAAAAAATAATCAGGAAATATTTTTTTGCTTTGATCAGTCAAGTCTTGCACGACACAGAAAAATAAAGCGAGGTATATGGGTGGGATGTATACAACCACAAAACAAAAGTACCATGGGCTTGTGAACTAGAGCTATGTATTATTGTACATACAGGCAATATTGTGCCGCTGTAGACACGTGTAAATAAAAAGAGACACAACAAGGACTTGGCATTGAGGTTGTTTCACAGTAAATAATAAGCACGCATTTTTAAGCTGTTACTCGGTGTCTGTTTTCTGCGCGCACGCCAATACTCAACGTAAGGAACACGAACAGTATGGAGTTCATGAAACACGCATTATGTAACAATAAACACAAGACAAACCCATTGGATATTCTTATGTAAGAAAATAACTAAAATGTTTGTTGTTGTTATTCTTAGTAATGTTTAATTTTTTAAACTTAATTGTTGTAATTTACTATTTATTTTACCTCGTTTTACTTTTATATTATATTTTTAAAATTTTTAAGTAGCGTCATTATTGTTTTTTTTTTTTAAGACAACAGATCTTTAGCTTACAACAGTGTCAATTTTAAAATTAAAAGAAAATATCTTATAGTAGCAATAAAACAAGAAGCATGTGGTACACGACCATGTTAAACAACTAAGAAGGTAAAAAAAAATTGAATTATTTTCTTTTTGTAAACTTTAAAGGATATGATGCTTAGCTTTGATTATTAGCCTTTTTTAAAAAATTTCTAAAATAAATATTTGCTGTATACTACACCTTAGAAATAATTATTAAATTAAAAATTATGAATGATATAAAAATTCTATATTTTAAAATTACATTACTTACAAGCAAAAGAAATACTTACCGGAGTTGTATAAGGCGGACCAGATAGATCGATATCATCTCGGACCAGCTTATCTCGTATGATATGCTTTAGTTGAATTTTAGGATAGGTAAGCAAAGCCGACTTTCCTTCCTCGTAGTCATCGGTCAGTCGACGGGGGCAGTGGACCGTGTCCGGAACCGGGGTTTCACCCACTGTCCGGTCAGTTGCTCCAACACCCCCAAGACCTGCGGTATGATGGTAAATGTCCGAATTCACACAGCCTACCCCACCGTCTCCGCCGATCAGTCCGACTCCGTCCAAGACATTGTTAGGACATGGTCCTTCCGGATTTTCTAAAGTAAAATAAACAGCTGTACCCCCTTGTTCACGGAGGATACGCACAGCTTCCAGTATTCGATAGCGATGTTCGGGTTTGTGGACCCCGATGGCATCCAGGTCTGGTTCGCCTATTTGTTTGCATATCTCTAGGTCATCATAGCCATTGTCAAGGAAAGCTTGTGTGTAGTGCACTAAATACAGTGATCGAAGCCAGTCAGTGACAATATTGTCTGCCATCGCTAAACTACGGACGACACAACAAACTCTTTCTTCCCTTCGGCCCCGTTTTCGCTTGTTTTGGGTTGGTTTCACTGGAAGAAGATAGAAAACACACACGCACGCACACAGACACGCCTCCTCTTGGAGCTATCAACTCTTCTTTGTTTTGTTTTGTTTTTTGCTTTTCTACTTGGTACTCCGTTGTTTTTATGTTTTCTCTTCCCCCAAAATCTTTGTTTAAGATCTTTTTTGGAGACTACATTTGAGATGCCTGTTTTTCCTCCTCGTTACAACGTTCGTCTTCTCTGGCGACCAGACACACACGCACGCGCACATATACACACTTTACTGGTTCTTTTTCTTAAACACGACCGAGTAGGAGGAATACAAGACACGAGGAAGAAGCAGCAAGACTCGCGGTGATATTTTGTTCTTGTTGTTGTTGATGGTGGTAGTGGTGGCAGTACAGATGATGTTTTTGGTGTAGATAGTAGTAATGGTGACGGCGATGATGCTTTTTGGCAGCAGCAGCAGCAGAAGCAAGTGCGTGAAGAGAAAAGTATATGGTAGCGGTGTCGTCGTTTTGGCAGTCGACATATACACAGGAGTAAGCGATTTCTACCACTGGGCATATAGAGAGAAAAATAAAATAAATAAAAATATGACAAGCTAAAAATTATTTCAAATGTTAATTCTTCTTCTCTTCCTCAAGTGTAATAAAAACGATCTTTCGAGTCGATATTGATTGACAACAAAAAATATTGTTTACAATACATAAATTAAAATTATCTTCTCTAGGGCGGTGTCAATGAAAGAGATAGAACGAAAGGGCACATGTTCGATGAAGTTCGAACGCACGTTGTAGTTTTTAAGTTAGTGCGTAAACAGAACAATCGAAAGAATACGTTGTAGGAACACACACACACGTTTTCGATAATCACTGCAAGAAATGAGAGTTCAACTCACTGTTTTCTTATCTTTCTTTTGGGGGTGAGCGGGTGGACAAGAATAAAGTTTGTTCAGAATAATAATATCAATAATAATATAGGCACTTTCGTGTAAATCTTTGTTACGCACTTACTTAAATAAAATAAATACTATTTTTTTTTCTAACTTGTGAATCTATAGGAAGCCACGTGGATACGAGTAAAAAAAAAAAATAATCACATAGTTTTACAGACTTTAAATGTCGATCAACGAAGACAACGCGTATGATTTTAATAATTACAATACCACCTGGAACAGTCAGCAAAGTCTGGCTTATTGGCTGCTGAAAAACGAAATAGGGTCTGATCCCACAGGAAAAGAAAAAGGGGGCAAGATAAAGATCTCTGATGAACCTTTAAAGTTTAAAGCAGCAAAAAAGTACTACAAAACATTAAACACTAACAGCAACTACAGCGTATATAACAAAAGAAGGAAATACAAGAAGCCCAAGAATTTTTCATAAAACCCTGTCCTCGTCTCCCTCTGCAATATAGACAGAGTAAGAATAGAGAGAGAGAGAGAGAAGCTGGTCGTACTGCTTGTGCTGCCACCACCACCACCGCCGCCGTTGTCGACTCCTTGTAATAATATTAATAATAATGATAAAAGAAAAAAACAAAAAAAAACACAGAAGGAAACCTTGTCGGGGTCTTGTTGGTTCGTTAAAATAATCGTCTGTCTATGGCATCTATGCTTTTATTTCCAAATTAGTGGGTGTCTGGTAGTTATTAAGATTGGAAGCTGATATTTTTTCTTTTCTTCTTTTTTTAAATTAAATACCGCAGCAAATTACAGATTTTCTATTGTTTTAAAAATCGAAATTCCTTGGTTACTTTTGCTTTGGTTGGGTTTCGCTAGTTCTCTGATGATTTCTTTGCAATGATGTTTCGTAAGAAAACAAATTCCAGTGTAAAGATCAGTTAGTAAATTCTTTAAGATTTTTTTCAGATCAATTTAAGTTCCAAGCATCGCAGGGATCTGTTCTTAGAAAATGTTTCCACTCATTTTTAATCCAATATTAATCCAATAATCATCACGATATTGTCAAGTACAGAGTATTAACAAGCACAAAATATACATGTCCCTTCTTGTAAATAGGTTTTTAAAATAAGTTACAATTTACGAGGACAGTGTTGTCCTGTAATAGACACACAAAAATGAGACACTATAAAAACGAATCAGGCAAGCTTCGCCTGCGCTGACTGGTTGTTGAGCCGCTAGCGGCAATAGCAGTGGTAGTAGTTACATATCGCTCCGACCTCAAGTCGAAAGTCGTGAGAGAAATAAATATAGAAAAGCCACGACGATGTTTAAGACCGGTAAGCAGTGTGCGCTGGCCGCTTCCCAACTGACTCAAATGCCAAGAGAACCTGCTTGACAAGGGCTGCGCGCGCAGCACTTTGACTGCTGCTGTCTTCGCTATGACGTCACTGGAAACACCCCCTCTGTGGATTTCCCCCTTAAACCGACAAACGTCGACACGCCAAAACACATACATGCATTTATACATATAGTCAATATTGACACATGGCGATCATATTATATATATATATATATATATATATATATATATATATATATATATATACACACACACACACATATATATATATATATGTATAGATAAATGCATATATATATATATATATATATATATATATAAATATAGATAAATGCATATATATATATATATATAGAGAGAGAGAGAGATTAATGCATACATATAAATATAGATAAATGCATATATATATATATATATATATATATATATATATTTCTAAAGAATTAATGGGTTTATTTTTAATTCAACATTGTTATTACTTCAAAAGTTATTTTTCGTCAGTTGTATGCCATGCGTGATACACGCTTACGCGATCATATATCTTTCGATACATGACTGACGAGGCAGATTTTTTTGCCGCAGTAGGTTGCCATTTCTTTCTGTGGTAGACCAGTTGCCATCCAAGGCTATAGAACCCGGTCTGTTTTGCTATTTACCCATAGCTGGAAGAAAAAGAAAAGGATTCATAGCTTTTCCCAAAGGTATTAGCACTTAAGTGAATGTAATGGATTCGACTGGAAATCGAACTCAGCTCTCCGATTCCTCAATCTGAGCCGCTATCCATTACTCCACCGTGCCTCCTTTATTTTAGTAGATAACCGTATTTGAAATAGACACCCTGCTTTTTTGGGTTTTTTTTAAACAGTGTGTATTCGTCTATCGGCATGGGCACACGAGAAAAATTCGAGAAAAAGACATATAGTGTATGATTCCAGGTGTAAATTTACTGTATAAAATTCTGAAATTAGTGCACTTTCAATACATTTGCTCCTGGTATTTATCTAGAGCTCTTTGATAAAATCCAAAGAAGAATCAGCAATATTATTGGTCCCGATCTGGTAGCTCAGCTTCAGTCACTTTCCCACCGCCGTAAGGTTTCCTCACTGTATTTTTTCTGTAAAAACTTACATGGAATTGCTCGGTTGAGCTCTTCGCTTTGATACCTAGACGTTTTTAATTTAAACGCAGTACACTATTTACATTATTCGGACTATTGTCCTTATCTTTGTTGCCATATTTATCACAACGTTTCGGCCATTGTACGCTCTGGCCTTCTTCAGGTGGTTGGAATGTCGAACCTAACCCTTTATTTCACTCGCTGGGGTAGACTGTTCTAGTTCCACATGCCATGGATGTCAGTTATCAGTTATCTCCTGTTAATTCACAAGTTCTCCACTGCCTTAATATATATATATATATATATATATATATATATATATATATATATTCCTGTTGCTATGTCCTGAGATCCTCGTTGTTGCACAAAATATGGACTAGTTTGCGGGTTACTAGTGGGATTGAAGTGTTACATACGACCCAAACACAAAACTCTGAGGTTGTCGGATCTTCAGTCCCGCTACTAACCCGCAAACAAGTCCATATTTTGTGCAACAACGAGGATCTCGGGATATAGCAACAGGGACGTTTGTTGACGTTTTTCGATGTTGTCCTTAGCCTGTCTAATTACGACTGATTTCATAATTTCTGATACGAATCTGGCACAAGTACCTCCAGTTAACTCACACACTCCTCTCTCTCTCTCTCTATATATATATATATATATATTAATGTTTGTTTAACACTTAAAATATGTTTTAAAAATATGTTTATAAATATATATATATATATAATATATATATAAATATATATATATATATATATATATATATATATATATATATAAAATGGATGAGAATAATTGAAACGTCCGCTTTTTGACCGTGAGTTTCTAGGTTCGAATATGACTGATTTGATGACATCGGCATGGGGAAGCAACCCTTTGGAATGTTCCTGAACACCATACCATCAAAGCCTTGTGAGTGAAATTGGGATGACGGAACTGTTCGACGAGCCATAGGTCGTTGTGCTATCAGGAAGTCACAAGTCATCGTGACCGAGTGTTTGAGAGTACCAGCCTTTTTTTTTTTTTTTTTTAAATATCTTGCTAGATTATGTAATTTTTTTCCCCAGAAACTGTAACGATACCCGATCAGTATAGCTGCAGTATAAATCACAGGTGGTTCCTGTGGGTTGGACAGGCGTCTGTAATAGGGATTTAGCTTGCTACCCCGGCTGAAAAACGAGTATTAGCCGGTTATTATTATTATTATACTCAGATATAAAATATGAAGTATATATATATGTATATATATGTGTGTGTGTACGCGCGTATGTGTCATGTTTGATTTGGCTCTAAAAGATGATACTACATATATTTTACGAAAAAAAGAATTTGCTCAATAGTGCTATAAAGTTAAAATATTTCCTATGTGTGTGTGTGTGTGTGTGTGTGTGTGTGTGTGTGTGTGTGTGTGTGTGTGTGTGCAGTATACGCATAAACCTTTTTTCTTTGTTCTTAAGTCAAATTACTTCTGAATCATCTGTTAATTCAAAACAATATGAATTAAATGTTTACCGTGTAATTTAAACCAGATCACAAATAATTAAAAAATAGTATCAAAGGGAGATA